AGCTAAGTCCGTGTCAGAGCGGTACACCCTGGTGTACTAAACAATTTTATATATTTTCTTCATTACTGTAGTACTGTAGCACTGCTGCAGTGTAATACTATAGCACTGTAGTGATACCGGACGGTCCGCGTACCGGTATGCTATCGGACCGGTACGTACCGCCCATACCGGATGGTACCATTAGGTACTGCATACCCTGGTGCACATCAAGTCATCAACAGTCCAGTGTCAACTTTGGTTAGATAAATCAATACTTCAGATGAATCCATGTCTGAGACAGCTTGGCTAGATGAGTGAGATGAATGTAGCTGCTTGAGAACTGATGCTATTATAGTCATATATCTTTTTCATTATTCCTTTTTATGAGAAGAAAATATGGCTAAGCCCAAAGATATCCAATCGTTTCTGTCATTGCATGTTGTTGCCTACTAAAAGTTACTATATTCTTTATCATATTTTGTGGTTTCTGTGGTTTTTATGTTTATATGTGATAAGCTTGCCATTTGCATTCTTCATATGCAGGCAATGCTTAAAATACATGAGCATATGCATGAGATATGGAAGAACCAGGCTGAGGAACAATCTCAACAATCCAGTGTTTTTAGTTGGATAGATAGTCTTCCATTTAATGCAAAAGTCAAAGAATGGTTGGTTGGAGAAGAGAGATATAAGCAAGAACTGCATTCAAAGCATATTCTTGCTTCTGTAGCAGACAATTTTCTTATTGACAGGAAAGCAGATAAGACTGGAGCAAGCATTCTTTGCTTTGATGAGATACAGGTATTGTATAATGAGAATGATCCATGAATATATGCTCTTAATTTTTTTTCCATCATCAAGAAATGTTGTAGCCTTCTGATGGTAGTCTTCTAATAAAATATAGTGATGTCACTCTTAATTTTAAATATAATATCTTAGTTATATGAGAATGGACCACATTCATGGGAGATTAGACAGAGCATAAACCTGAAGATAAGATTAAATCAGAGGCAAACTTTCTCTATAAATGCCTTCAGGAAGGATCTGAGTATCTGGATGTGTAGTTCGTGAGTGTTGGCATATGTTTGCTCATTGCATACTAAAACATTATAAGAGATGACTGCTTATGTATATAACCATGAGATTCTCATAAAATTTAAAGTAAATCTCATTGTACATCTCAGTGTCCTTCAGTGAAAAAGGGAATTTTTGTGGCCTTAAGCCGTCTCATTTTCATTATTAAATTGCTCAGGTTTTTTGTTATTGCCATTTGACCTTTTGACCCCAACCTCCTCACTTTACTGTATGTGTGTGTGTGTTCTAAAGAGTTTTAAGCTTCCTATTCTTTTGGAGCATCCTGGGACTTCTGAATAGAAAGAAAAATAACATATATATACATACATATATATATATATATTTATTTATATATATAAACTTTTACAAATATTGATCTGAGGATGAGAGAGTGGTGTAGCAGAGGCCTGTAGATGATAGACCAGGTTGCTAAGGATGAATTAGTGCCTCTGTTTTCAAGCTTTCACTCGTTTGAATGTTGATATGGTTTTCAGAACAATGCTTTTATGTGAAAATAGCTAGTATAGTCAGCAATAGATGTAATTCAGCATAGATTTGAACTAAAATGAGATCTTCTGTATTTTGGATATTTTGTAAAGAATAAGTTAGCTATTTTCAGTCCAAGGATAAATTCCAGAAAATAGATGGCAACTGATGTAACTCGTTAGTTAAGAGAAAGGAAGTCATAGAGCTTTAGATTATAGGGAAAATGAATAAGATTGGATCATAGGAAGAGGGGATAAGACCAATCTATGGTACATTCTCAAATCTATCAGATAGTATAATAATAGGAAATGCTCTACTATAAAACAAGCAAACTGCCTCTTTTTTACCTTTCAAATCTGATGTACATTCAAATAGGGATCAATATCTTGCATATTACATCAAGTTAGAAGTCATCCTTATTTGGTTTGGACTCCATAAAAGAAAATGAAAACAATATGAAATCAACTCCTAGAATATCCAAATGACAAACTTTCTCATGGTACTTGAATTTCTTTTATGATTTGGAGCAAGATTTACATGAGACAAATTTGAGACCATATTATAGTCTGTAAGAAATAGTACGAAAAACACATTGAAGACAAAGAAAAAATAAATGAAAAAGGAAGGTCTGACTGTATATCACTGAACTTAGAAGCCTAAATGGACTCATATAATGACTATAACATCATCTTTCCTATACTCAACCTTTTTCTTGAGATGACCACAGGCTTGCCTAATGGTTTTCCTTGTATAGTGGGAAATGCGTAGGCCTATGCGTAAACTTATTGGACACTCGAGGGAATTTCATATGGTTGGTGAGTACACTTGAGTAATATTTTGTTACTAGTGAACTTTAATAATGTTTCATTATTTTGTCTTTATCAAATAAATTCTTTTGGTTGATAACTATCTTTTTAGTGTCCTTAGACAATACTAATGTACAAATTGGACGAGAGCAACTAAAATTGAAGTTTATGGACCACTTGACTTAGTATTCTCTTTTTTCTTGAAGATTCTATTACCTATTGTAATTGCATAACCTCTATTTTACACATTAATTTCATTTGTGATATCCCAGCCTTACTAATTGAGCTTGTTCCTTTATTTCAAGTAATTTTCTTATATAGATTATTTGATGTTATGAGATCAAATATGTTGTATTTTGCTTTGAGTAGGTTTAACTACTGAGGTTCTTAATTTCAATCTGTGCTAGTGTACTTGGTCGGTATACGTATAGTGATGTACCGACGGTATGCCCAAAAAAATCAAAAATAGCTCCAAAAATATCTAAAAATAAAAAAAATATATTAGGATTTTTAAGTTGTAAATAAACATAAATTTAATATATTTTTTTACGAAAATAATCTAAATTAGGAAAGAACAGTGACACATCTTTTTCGAGCTTTGAGAAGTAGAATTATGGTATGTTCTGGATCGTCCTTCCGTTAATATTGAATTATCTACAAAGAAATGATTTGAATTGTTAGATTTTTTTTTAAACAACTTAAATTTTAAGATTCAAATGAATCAAGTAATTTCGATGAATATGCCTAGTTCTATCACTAAAAAGAAAGATGAAACTCCACGGATGGTGGATCGGAGTCCTCGATTCTATATATCTGTATATCAATTTGATATGTTTGTTAGAACCAATCTTGAAATTGATCCCATGACATAGTATGCTTATCCACTATATGTCATTGGTGCATCAATGTAGTAATGGTCGTAGTTTAATCGTCATGAATTACACATGTCCAAGGCGGCTCCTAATGCAAGTACGATTATGGTATATATTGGTGCAGAGTATGGAGAATGTCAGAACTTCTACTTTCGCCATTGATATGTTGTTCTGTATCATAAGTTCGATCATCGTATTGCTGCTTAGAGAAGTATAACTAATTATCACTATACTATCATTGGCCATAAGATGCTTCATGATATGACGACTGTGAATACGATGAACTTCGCTTTATGTCTACGTCATGTAGGTTCTGTCACATCTATTCAAAATCATCCATTGTCTTCCCCTTATGTGTATAAATTTGACCAGTACACCGTCGAGTTCCATAATTTGAATCTTGGGTGGCATGTGTAAAATATTGCTTGGTCCATGCACCATCTTTAAATTGTGTAGATGGGACCATTGACTCCCTGACATCGTCCCTATCATCCGTTGAGGCACTGTTGTCTACGTCGTTGCCATGTCTCTATATTGAGCGGGTTGTTAAATGCGATTGAGAAGGTGTTTCGTCACTCGACTCGATTCTTTCCAATGGTGCAGCTGATGCTACTGCCTTTCACTTTGCCTTTGCCCTTGCACATTGGGCGGATGACTGTGACAATTGGGTGTCTTTAGTTCCTCGAGCAGTTCGACTCGATCCTTCTATCACGTTTTGACCGAGAGGGATCATCCTTTTAATCCTCCTAAATTTGATCCAATCCACAAATTGTAACTTTGTTGAGTTTATGAGAGTAAAAATGTGAGAATAAGAGAGAGATGTGAGTGAGAATAAGTTTGAGAGAGTTGAAGAGATTGAAAGAGTAATATGAGTTGAAAGAGGGGGGAGGAAATGGTTTAAAAACCCTTTCCTATGGTTCAAACAGTCAATTTGACCATTTTAAATAGGGTGATCTCAGCCCTTGATCGGTAACGATCGAAATTCGACTATTACCGATCGGTACAGACCTTGTATCGCGTGATACGGGGTCAGATTATGGTATCGCTCGGTAGAGGTTGGTCCCCGTACCGATCCCCTGTTGGACTGGTATGTGCCGCCCGTACCGAGCATTATGACAAGCAACAAAATGTATATTTTAGCTTTTATTTAGTCATTGTTTATTCATTAGTAATATATTTATTAGATTGGCAAGCAAGGCCTTATGAAACTTCAACTTATGTTTTTTTATGTACAGACTGTTGATGTCTTTGCTATTGTGGCCTTATCTGGAATTGTAAGCAAATTACTGACCACTGGAACTGTTCTTGTGACTACGAGTAACAAGGCACCTGAGAATCTGAATCAGGTAGTTTCTCATCCTGCCTGCAGTCATGGTACGGTCATTTTCTACCTTTACAACATAAGTAGACATTTGTGAATTAATGTCAATGAGGAAAAGTTTCGAACTATATGAAATCATTACATGAATCTCTGTCCTGCATTTTGCTCTATGGAGGCTATTGCCACAAGATAATCTGAGGATAATCATATATTTTCTTAGTCTTTGTGGCCTAGACCTTTCGATCCTATTCATTTCTACGATATAAAATGATTCACCAAATTAGTTATCTGGTGTACCTCAGGCACCTTATTTTTTTTCCCTTAATTTTTGCTCAGTTAGTGCTATGCATAACCTTTGAAAACAGCAGAGGTTCATCTCAATATCCTCATCTTTGCTATAGTAGCTTTTTAGGAAATAGTAACTACTTTTTTATGATTCCTGACTGTGATTAATTAAACTTTTAATGTATTTCTTATTATTGCTTCTAAAATATCTAATATCTGATTTATCTGATATATTCATTTCTTGTACTACTCTCTTTCCTTTCTTGTTGCTATGTAAATAGTTGAGGTTAGTCTTAACAGATGTAGTGAAAAAACATAGAAAGTTCAATCCATATGATTTTAAACTCCCAATAAAAATGCACAATTAACAATAGTGACACCATTACTCGTAAAGGGTGACAGTAGGCAAGATGGACCCTAGCCTTTCAGATAGGTTGTTCTGTAATTATATAACATTGTAAGATTTTCTGTCAATTTCAACCATCCTGAAATCTATTAAGTATATCTTCAATCATCCCTCATGTTTTATTTTTCAAAATCTTTTGGCCATGTTTTTTCAGTTATACTCCACTTTATATCATATTGTTCAAGTTAAACTTCATATACTTGATCTAAACCCTATGGATTTTAGAGTTCATCAAAATAGCACTACCTGATATATTGCTAGCACTTACTGATCGTAACAATGTTATTATCAGATAACATAGTGGAACTTTATTTCAAATGTTTCTATTAAGTTCATCAATTGCTAGTGCTAATTACTAGACAAGGCTGGTCTTTGGTGCAACCCGATAGTACTCAAATCTTTACACTTATCCTTAGCATATGCCTTATATGCCTTTTCACTTATGGGTAACCTTTTGCCTTCTTTTTTCCAAATCTATCAAAATAAATGCATTAAATATGTGTATCTTGTCATGTGATTGGTGAAGTTGGTGACCTTTTCAGAAGAAAGAAGCATATAGCTCGTAGGTCTCTGTATGTGCAACATGCCAAAGAAATCAGATTTGTAGTGAATGTGGAGTATGATGCATGAAGACTTTGAAGCATCAATGTTGCTATATAAGGTAAGATTTGATGGATGAGCATCTGAATTGATGGGATGGGTCTGAGGGACAGATGGTGAATCTAGTGATAAAGGTGCTGATCTAGTAATTGGTGCAACTGCTTTTTGGAGAGTTGTGGCACTTATAGTCAGGACTGGCCCACAGCTCAATTTTGTTGCTTGTGGGTTAAGCTTGTGGTAGTTATCACACCATTTACAGCAGCATGGTCTTCAGTGCTGTGATGTATCATCTGGAGTGGCACCACTAGAAGTATGTTCACTGCCTCCACAAGGTCAAAGTCAACATGTGGATCTTAGCACCAGAACTGTGGTATACCCAGCTGATATGTTATGTGGAGATGTAGCAACAAACTGCTGAAAGGAATGTTAAGAGGAAAAGAAATGGAACACTCTCGTTCGAAGTGGTTTCAGTTCGACCACTACTGACATGTTATGGCTGTCATGAATTTTCTTTATTTGCTTCTGACTGATGTCTACTTCTGTTTATATCTGAATGGATTAGCTTGAAGGAGATTACTTTCATATATTGTGTTATAAATTTTGATGGAGTCAAGCTAGATGTCTTTGATGAAGAAGCAATTGTAAACATGCAGTGATTAATTTCATGGTGGTCTTCATTGAGGAGCAACATTATACTGTATTATCAATTTGAATGAATCAAGCTAGATGTCGATTAAGCAATTGTTCTTGTAGTGATTGACTTTTTGGTGGTTTTTATAGAGGAGAAACAATTCATGATGCCATTCGAAATGTCAATGATAAGGTGATGCATCGACTCCTCCTAAGCATCCAAGAGGCAACAGAAAATGATATCATATGAATGAGGGACAGCATTGATGCAATACTCTGGGTAACAGTCAATAATGGTGGTGAATGTTGGAATTTGATAGGGAACTTATGGGCATTGCCTTTGCACCAGCACTATTTTGACTCAAAAGTGCAATGTTGTCAGCATGTATTCCTTATCAGGTGCAATGTATAGCTAGAATCACATGTAAGTCGTATTTCTCTAGGTATTTAGAATAAGTCATACTTTGTAGTTTGTACACAACATATCTCTTCTCTATACTGTCTTTATTTTGTGACATTGTTTGCCTTATTCTTATTTGAGTGATATCTGCATACATCATCATAGTGTAGCATGGCAAACAAGTTTTGTGCTACTGTAAGTTGTTTTCACCATTACATGTGCTGGTCTGAACATTAATAATGACTCCAGACAGGAGCACCTTGTTTATCAAGTGATGTAATGTGCTTATAATATTTTGAAATGGATCTCTTATGATTCAAAAATTGAAAATAACTAATACTTCTTTAGGCAAAATAGTTAATATATGTTTCAACTCTTTGGACCATATATGTCTATGTTTGTCTTAGGAATAGACCGGAGAATATAGTTAAGTTGGATAGACATGAAAACCCTTTAAGTAAAAGCTTTAGGTAAGTTGGATCAATTGTTCAATAAGATGAAGATATTCTTCTAAGAGTAAAAATAGGATGGTTAAGATAACGAGAGCTATCAGGAGTCTTGTGTGATCATCGGATATCTTTGAGATAAGAAGAAAAATTTTATAAGGTAGTTGTGAGATAACCAACAATGTTTTATAGATCTGAGTGTTGGGCAGTTAAGAAACAACATATATAAAAAGTTTGTGTTGCTAAGATGAAAATGTTGAGATGGATATGTGAAGTTATTAGGAAAGATAGGAAAAAAATATTTCTTTTCGTAAACAACTAGGTAATGCTTCGATAGAGGATAATATAAGAAAAAATCATTTAAGATGATATGGGCATATGCTCAAGAGACCTCTGGATTCGATAGTCAAAAGAGATGAAATGATTCATGTTAGTGGTATGAGAAGAGGTAGAGGAAGATCTAAAATGACTTTAATAAAAACTATAAATAAATGTTTAAGTACTCTGAATTTAACTAAGTATATAGCTTTTTATGGATCTCAATGGCAGCAAAAGATTCATGTAGCCAATGTTAAATAGTTGGGAGTTATAGTTTTGTTATTGTCAAGGTTCGCAATACCATATCGTATCGGTATTTCGACCTAGGCTCGGTACCGGTACGGTATGGTATACCGAGCGGTACACCCATGTGAAATTTGGAATATTACAGTACTGCTACAGTGCTACAGTGTTACAGTGTACCGAGCGGTATACCGACCTGGGCTCGGTACTGCTACAGTGCTACAGTGTACTACTACAATACAGTGCTACAGTACTACAGTGCACTCGGACCGGTAACAGTCGGTTCGCGTACCGACAACCTGTCGGACCGGTACGTACCGCCCATACCGGGCGGTACGGCTCGGTACGGTAGACCCTGGTTATTGTTGTATGTTTGCATAATTTAATATATTATTCTTTAGTGACATGTGAAATTGCACATTTTTTATGACCATGCTAATTTGCAATACTATATATCCTCGTATCTTTCTCAAATATTTAACACATAAACTTGTATAATTTCACCAATAATGTCTTCTAACCTTTTCTCCATAATGCTCCTTTTGTACCTTTTTGGAATATTTTATCATGTCATTTTTAATAGTTAATTTTAAGAAACATTCTTAAATCTTGTTATTCTTATATTACTTGTTTCACATCCTTCACTTATGATTAAAAATATTATGGTTGAGAATCAGTTTAAGCAAATGGGAGCTCAATCAAACAAATGAAAGATAGATCTGGGTCTTCGCTTCAACATTATGAATGTGAATTTGAAACTTTGACCATAATGTATAAATTTTGTTATTCCAGTGATTAGGGTGATAAATTGAGAAGCATTGCATTCAACAATTTAGTTAGTTCGCTTCTTTATGTAAGAAATAATGCTAGATACTGCAATCTTTGTAGAAAGAGGTTATTGTGTTTCTTGCATCTCTATGCATGCACCATCTTTCTAAAATATCTCAAGTCTTTTAAAAATATGAGTTTGTATATTTCAATCAATTTCTAATTCATCTTATTTTAATTATTTGGATACATCATTGGTAGAGAACTAGTAATTTTTTAAGTTAGTCAATGTCTATTATATTTGGAATTCTATCTTGAACTTCTTACGAAACACTTCATTTTGGAATTCTAGGATGGTATGCAGAAAGATATATTTCTATCCTTTTTATCCAAGTTGGAGGAGAATTGCCAGAAAATCCTCATTGGAAGTGATATTGACTATCGTCGCTTAATACCAAATAAAAGAATGGACCAAGTAAGCTGAAATTAGATTACCATTACATCTGATGTTTTTGGAGTTACTATAATCCATGTTATTGAATATTTTTTTATCCTTTGTTTCTTTCATATGCATCCTCACATTAATGCTTATCATGAGGATCATGTAATTGCTTGATGAAGTACAATCGACTCTGATGGTACCCCAAATGAATATTGGATTATTGGTGGCCTAATTGTTTTCTACTAATAACTTGTAAGACATTCAATGAAAGATCAGATTCATCCTGAAAGAATGTATAGAATTTAAAATGTCATCCATGAACCAACGGTGCCAGCTTGCCTGCTGTGTGCTGCCCCATCCTGATGGTCCATTGCATAACATAGGAGGCATATTTGCACAAGGCATGTGTGTGTGTGTGTGTCAATACATGGCCATACATGACCTTTGTGACTGCCATACTATAGGATTGGCACTTGTTCTTAATGCATCGACATGCTTGCCAAGTATGGGCTAGTGGATATTGGTTTTACGAAGATCATGCATGAGTCACTAATGGAGATTAACAAGATAAACATTCAAAGAATTATTTTAGGGTTTCCAAGAATCTTTATGTATGGACAGTGACTACAAATTGAGTTGTAAATTGTCTGAATTTGATCATTGAATTGTCCCATGGCCCTTAGATGTTGGCCCACTTAAATGATAAGTGGGTTCATTATAGATTGGTCCTAGTTTTGTAATCTAATTCATGAAAAGAAAGGTTGGGAAATCACAAGTGACCTTTTAAAATGTGATGTTTTAGCCTTTGCCAATCCTTCAAGTTGTTATAGCCAGACTGCTTGTCAAATTACCTAGATTATTTGTTTATGTCACTGCAACTGTGTAAAGAATTATTCTGTCAACGTATTTCGTGTTAGGAACGAGTCGGCACTAAGAGGGGGGGGGGGGTGTGAATTTGTGCAGCAGAAAAATTACGTCGGTTTAAAAATCTTCGTTCGATTAAAACTGATTTCGACGAAAACTATTTCGGAGAAATGTTAACTTTGAAATTGTATTCGTAAGCGTAATGGAAGTAAAGCAAGTAAGTAGTTTGCAGTGAAGGTAAATAGCAAGAATAAAAATGCAAACCAAGTTTTTATAGTGGTTCGATCGCCATGACCTACATCCACTTCGTCGAGGCCACCGGCATCCACTAACGATCTTCCTTTAATAGGCGAAGATCAACCTCCTTCTTACAACTCTATTCTCCTTTTGTATGCTCAAGTGAGAACTTTTACACCCCCTTTTTACAAAGCTTCCCTCACACTCTCTCGTAGAATGATCTCTAAACTTTAGGATGAGGGACTCTATACTTTACAAGGGTTTTCAACTCTAGAAACACAGAGTTTTTGTTCACTTTTCTTGCTTCTCCATGCAGGAGTAGGTAGGGTATTTATAGACCCCAAATGGCTTAAAAAATGGAGCCAAAATTCAAATCCCCCGAAATTTCAGGGTACGGGCGGTACCACCGCTTGCAGTCTGACACTGGGCGGTACCACCGCCTAGTCTGGCGATACCACCGCCTAGAAGACTATGTTTAGGCGGTACCACCGCCCAACATAGTCTCGGAGATTGTGCCACGATAGTTTCACCTGTTTGATCACTGTTTGGGCCTTTCTCTTGGCCCAACATAGCCCAAACTTGGGCCCAACTATCCCTTAATTGGGTTGGCCCAATTTTAATCCCAATTATGTGCTAACTACGAATTTTGAGACATTTACTAAGCTAAACAAAGTCTGTAAGTCTAGGTTTCTTCTGGTGAGCTTTCGACGATCTTCCGGCGAGCTTCCAGCGATCTTCCAGCGAACTTCCGATGATCTCTCGGCAATGTTCCGGCAGACTCTCAATAGGCTCCTGGACTTCACGACGATCTTCTTGGCGAGTTCCGACGAGCTTCTTTGGCAAGCTTCAGGACTTCTCGGCCAATTCCGGCAGAACTTCCGACGAACATCCGGACTTCCGACGAACTCTCGAACTCCCAACGAAATCGCGTTCTTGACTTCGGGACTTCATTTTGCTTTGTGCCTTGCTATCGTAGTTAATCCTGCACACATAAAAACCAACTTCGATCTAGACAATTATTACAAAGCTTGAATCATGTTGTTCGGCATGTCATTGGTTCATCGACGCTTCGTTCGATTCTTCGGCACATTGTCCTCTCTTGCGGCCTATTGCTCAATCGGCCAGTTGACCTCCACAACTTCGATATCTTTGGCGCAATATCCACACTTCTTGGCCCGATGCCCGAAGCCTTCTGCCGATACGTCGATCGATCTTCCGGCCCGACGTCCAATCTTCTGAATGTTTATTCCGGCCCAACATGAGTCTTCCTGCTTCAATTGTCTCTCATTGATTGAAGCTTTCTGCGTCGCTCAAAACACATATCAAATCATAAATACTTTAATTGGTTTCATCATCAAAATCCGAGATTCAGCATTTCGTTATTGTCTACTCTTTCTATTCTGATCAAATACCTAGCAAAATTTGTATATCCTGGCTTCTTTTCCATTCTAGAGATTAAATAGGAAAACTTCAGTTGGTTAGTTCTAGGTGACATCTTTATTGTTAAGAGAAATCTTGACAAGGTTTCCTTTTTTAACTCAAAATTTATGGTGACTATTATAACCTTATGTTCGCCCAAAAACACAAATCTAATTTGTCACAAATTCTGGCTCCTTTATCTCTATGTAGACATAACATATTTCAGTAGCTTCCACACTTCATAATATATATGTTAATTTGGATAGAAGTAAGATGATCCATACAAGTTTGATTGGTGTCTTCCACAATATGACTAACTTGCAGCAGAACTTTTATAGCTTTTCAAGTGATTGTTAAAGTTTAGAATTTTATTTGGGATACTAAACATGAGAAACTTTAAGGTGTCATAAGCTTTTACATAGTAGATGCACTCAAATATAGATCCTTGGCATATTTACCTGGCAGCAAGCTGTTGTCATTAGAACATGGAGGTTATAGTTGACTAACAGAAGCACAATTAAGAAAATCGACTGGCCGGTCCAATCAGGAAAACCATGATCCAGTTTTGTGACTGGTCTGGTTCTACACAAAGACCAGAAGTGTAAAAGAACCAGCCTGGACTGACAAATTCAGTTGTTTCTTTAATGAACCATGGAATCTTTTGGAGTTGAGTTCGTAAGAACTGGCCGGTTTTCTAATATATTCAAAAGTTAGTACACCCTTATTTTCTAAATTAAATTGAATTATAATGAGATGAATTTCGCTACTTTCATTATTAAAAAAGAAAATCTTTTGCAATCTTCTCCAGCAGTCCCTCTCGTTGATTTTCCTGCTTGTCTTGCACAGCTGTGCGGACACCTACTGTCATGCCCAAGGAGTGGAGGATTAGGAGGAAGAGGAAGGAGAAGAAGAGCATGAAGGAAAATAAGAAGAAAGGAAGGAAGAAGAAGAGAGAAGGGAAAATAGAAGAAAGAAGAGAAGAGGAAGGAACAAAGGAGTGGAGAAGAGAAGCAAAGGAGAACAAGGGGAAGAGGAAATTTGGGCAAAGGAAGAGGGGAGAAGAAAATGAGAGGAACAAGGAGAAGTGGAGAGGAGGGGAAGGGAAGGAGTAAAAAGAGGGAAAAAAAATTAAAAGAGGAAAAAAAAATTGAAGCTCCAATCAATTGACCCACTAGTTCAGCAAGTACGTAGGGAAATGAAGCATGGTCCAGTCAATCACCAGTTAAATTCCAATAACTATGTACTAAACACATTGATTGTATATCTCAAAGAACTAATAAAATACCAGCAAATTATCTGATTATATTATGTTCAACCACTAGTGCCACAATTTTCAAAAAGGGGTCATGGGTTAGCACAGCAAGGATTTTAATGTCTAATAAATAGGCATAACACGCCTGTGGTCTTGGAGGATGTTTAGTGGTGTGTGATCAAGCAAAACAGAGAGAGAAGGTGTGGACTCACATCTGGGCCAATTCACCAATTCTGTCAGATGTTAATTTTCAAATGTGCATGGAGTACTTGCCTAAACTTGTAAATCTGGTTATGATAGATCACCCTTCATTGTGACTTATTAGGTTATTAGGACTACACAAGTCTCAAATCTGACTGCAAGCAGCCCTGTACTTTGCATAGAGTTGCCAAACACACTTCTTTTGGCTTCATAAAGGGCCATTCACATTTTGTAATAGAGTAAAGATCTGTGAGCGTAAATTACATAGTTGATGCCTTGTGAAATTGTTTGACCAGAATTATTCTCAAACTTTGCCTAATTTTGGGTAATAATCCTTTGTTATAGAATAGTTCACTTCAGACATCTTTACATTTAAATTTGTAATTGTTTTAAATTCTTTATTATTGAATATTCAAGGTGTATTATAATGCCTCTCTCTAGTAATGATAATCTTAATAGCCACAAAACAACTGCATTACAGGTCACTTAACATCACTATTTCTGTTCTTCTTATGTACTACTGTTACTATACATACCAAAATCTTGAGCATACTTCTAAACCAAGTAGTCATGGTTTGCCGTGTTGACACGGACTTAGCTGGTTTTGCCTAAGTCGTGCGGCACCCTCGCGCGTCCGTCCGCAAAGGTCAGCCTCCCCGAAGCCTCCCATTGTCCCTTAGGACCAACAAAAGAGAGAACGGGTTAAAGAGAACGCTTCAATCGGGATCCACAAGCAAACATATCCGAAAAACACTTCATAGACAATGCAAATTACAAACAGACTTTACAAGCTCTGAACAGTGGCACAACAAAGGGTAAAATGGTCCATTACAGACCGAAAAGCTCTCTCACGTGTCCACATGACACAACCTTTATTTACAAGCCTAAAGAGGCAACCAACCCAACTAAAATGGGACTATTAAGCCTTCGGCCGCCCCTCTACATGCTGTACAAGGCATGAACATGCCAAAAGACACGGACATACATAAGCATTACATCAAACACCTTGTTTCGAAGTTTGTCCGTGACATTCTCCCCCACTTATTCCTTCGACGTCCTCGTCGAAGCCTTTGTGAACACTGCAACTCTTCGCCTTTGCTAAGTCTTCAATCTTCTGCTCCAGCTGCAATGCGCCTCCTGGCTCCCAGCTGCTCTCCGCTGCTGTTTTTGAGTAGTCGAACCTTTGATCCGCTATGCTGCTTTAACTCGCCAATGACTCTGACTCTGGTGTGGGGTTGGCTGAGTTGTGTTGATCCTCGTTGATTCCTGCGGATCCACCAAATGAAGGAAAAGACCATCCTTACTGCGCCAGTCTCTCAAAATTT